AGGCAGGATCTATATATAGCTTGAAGAAGAGGCATGATAAAGCTCATGGAGCACGGAGTAAGGGAATGCCCAGTCGTTATATTCATCCATTAGCGGAAACAACTTTAATGTTAAGGTCTGATATTACTGATGCTGCACATCCTTGTAAAGACCGTTCATTTTAATAATTAAGTCTTATTTTAATAATTAATCAATGTTAAACTATTGTTAACCATGTACGGCTACAGATATTGCTGCAGTAATGTGTTGCTTGCATGCATTATATAAGCCATGATGCAGGTCCATATCCTACTCCACTGCATCCTGCAGTAAATGAACCATTGCAATGTGTTTCTGTTGATCTCTATTTAATTTCCAGACTTACCGTCAATGGTAATTAACATCTATGTATCATGGTTGACAGTTTCTTATGGACTGTGAATTGTCTTCAGTTAGAAATAAAACTGCAAGTTGTTCTTAATGAATTTAATGGAAGGATCATTTGGCATCATACTACTATTTAAATCAGCCATTTGAATCACATATCGGAGTGAATTTTGCAACAATATTCTAGGTAAATTGTGTGATTTTGTTAATAAATTATTAAGTCCCCTACAGCAGTTCACCATCCAGCTAGTAAGGGACTAACAGAAAGTACAAACAAAAAAGTGATGGACATCTTGTGAGTTAACACAAGGTTGACAGCACAAATAACCGGTACATAGGAGAAAGGAGCTTACGACTACGTTTAAATCCGACTTGGACCCTTTACAAAGTCACACTAAACAGTTGAATATATAAAACACTCTCACTACAGTGCTAACCCAGAGAAGCAGAGACTACTGCACAAGAGATAAATTTCCTACTGGAGCACGGGTTAGTAGAACCTTTTAAGTCCATGGGCCTCAGTTTGCTTCCTTGTGAAGAAACCCGATGGCGATGGTCGGATGTGTGCTATTGTAAGGTGAATGAAATCAGTGCCAGATGCTTACCCACGTCCCCATATGGACGATGTCGTGGACTACGTGGGTAAGGCTAAATTTATCTCCAAATTAGACCTCCTCAGGGGCTACTATGAAGTCCTTATAACTGACAGGGCCAAGGAAATCTGTCTTTGTGATTCTAGGTCATTATCAATATAATGCAAGCCCCTCTGGCATACAAAACTCGCCGGCCATGTGCTAAAGACCGATACATTTAGCTATGAAAGGGCTAGTAGACACTCAGGCTTACGTGGATGATTTAGTTGCAGTTTATCACACCTGTGACAAGCATATTTCCCGTCTCAGATATATTTTTAATAGGTTTAGGCAATATAAGTTAACTGTGAACTTCGATGAGTTCTCCTTTGGCCAATCTTCAATCACCTTTTAAGTCCACGAAGTCCATAAGGGCAAAGTAGCACTTAAGACAGCTAATATTCTGGACATCCAAAATTATCCAGCCCCAGGACAGCAATTTCTCCAAAGATTTCTAGCGATGATGGGGGTTTTACCAGAAATTCTGCCATAATTTCACAGACATTGTGGCCTCTATAATCACCTCTACCAGTAGGAAAGTCCACTTTAAGTGGCCTGCAAAGTGCTAAGAATAATTTTAAAAACTAAAACAAAAATGATATATGCAGCTCCCATATTGTTACCACCAGATTACTCAAATCCATTTTGTGTACAGGTGGATGCTGGTGATCAGTGGAGAAAGTCCTCCGTCCTGTCTCCTACTTCTCGGCTATGTTAATACCATACCAACAGTTCTACCCCACAACAGAGGAGACGCTAGCTCTTGTGTCAGCACTGGAGCTCTTCAGCCTGTGTTTGTCATCACTTCGTATGTAGTTCGGGTGTTTAGCGAACACAAACCGATCTCTATGCGGAAAAGAGACACTCATCTTATATGCTGGACTTTGAGACTCAACCATATAACATCTCCATCAAACACAACCCTAGGAAGTCCAACATGGTGGTGGACTCACTCTCCAAGGCTTGATAGTTACGATATATTATTTAAATATGTACACATATATTACTGGTTAGGATAAGGTGGTGAGTTGCCTGAAGTTCTCATCCCCCTTCCCTCTTGTATGGTCTATTTACTTCATTAGAAAGGAATACTTTGCACAACCTAAAATAAGGTTTTGCTTTTCTTTATGGTGATGGGACACAATGCTACCATCCACAAGTGTCTTGGATCTTTGTTAGTCCTACTGTCTACTGTCTCACTCTGTGGCAGTGACCTGGCCTCCCCGAATCCACCGCATGATAGTGACTTTCCCTTGTGCTTAATAATATTTTATTACATGTAAACTACATTACCTGTATAGTGAAGAAAAGAAAAATTTATTATTATTACTAAGATATTTACCATTAAATTTACTCCAATTTTATTCGTTTTGGTTGAGCATTGCCAGCTGGATAGGATGGTATGAGAGTGATGGTAATCACATTAGCTATTTTTTCTTTATTTATGCCATGGTGGGATGTTACCCACTTGATGGGATGCAGTTTTCCCGGCTGTTACTGTATTTTGGGGGCTGCAATTTATTTGGCATTCATCACACACACCCATTCCTATTGTTATTCTAAACCAGCCAACATGAAAGTTAGATTAGAGCAGTTATTTAGGGGCCCCTGCTACTCTGATTGGCTGTTCAGTTCAAATGCCCACCAAGTGCGTGAGAGTTTGCCGCCAGAGGAGTTGAGGCTATGCTCTTCCACCTGGCTGGGCGGTAGATGTTCACTAACTCTGGTAAAATGTTAAAAATTGTATAAAATACCGACAAGTTGATGATTAAGACACATGTGCAATAGTTGGGTATCTATATTGTTGAAACATTTCGACGACAGAGTAGGCTTCTTCCAGTATTTGATCTCCATTTCACTACTACACCTGCTGCCTCTGTATTTGACTGAAGAAGCCTACTGTGTAGGCGAAACGTTTCAACAATAAACATTCCCAACTGCTGCACATGTGAAGATTTAGACACACGTGCAACATTTGGGTATCTTTACTGTAGACGTTTCGCCATCCAGTGGCTTTATCAATACAGATTATAGGACACAATTTGAAGAGGTAATCAGTCCCTCTGCCTTGGAGTTGTTGTGAAGAGCACCGTAGTCGTGGAGATTCTGAAGAACAGGCAAGGAGGCTCACGCTTATATACGTCAGGTGGAAAGAGACGGGTAGCAGACGAGGACATAGTCACTGGTAGGCGGGATTCCCCAGTGGAAGTAGGTCCTACCCAAAGAGATGGGTTAGTTGTAGTTAGTTATGTAGATGTCCTCAGAATCAAGATTCCATGATGTTGCAGTGTCTGACAAGTTGTACAAGAATGGTATACAATACCGACAAGCTAACATTTAGACATGTGCAACATTTGGATATCTTAATTGTAGACATTTCGCCATCCAGTGGCACATGTGTCTTTCTCATCAACACTAGTCGACTACTCATACTACTTATAATGTACAAATATCAAGTATAGTTAGTGGGTCCCTGTTCTCTCTCATTATTCTGCTGATAATACACTACACACGCCGTAAATATCCTGGTGGAGGGAATATCCGGCTTCTACAACAAAAATGCCCAATGTATTTCTCTTTTTTATTTGCAAGAGATATGTTCCTTGTCTACAGACGTGACTTATGTCCAGCTACAACAAGAATTTATTTGTGTACCTGTGATGGTAATATTTGTCCAGCATCAAGACTTCTTCTCATTACTTATGTCATTATAGTCACTCTAGTCATATTGTCATATGTCATTATAGTTATTCTCATTATCATCTGATCATGTCAACTTATAGTCATTTTTAGTACAATCCTGTCATCGTCATTAAGCATTCTATCATCTCATTATCACAATCATATTAAACCACATCACCATTAATAACAGCAATTACAATTATTATTTTGACCGATATTACCACCACCAATACCACCACCATTTACACACCAACCACCATTACCACCACCACCATTTCTTACCACCACTACCACCATTACCACCATTACCACCACCACCTTCTTACCACCACCACCATACACCACAATTACCACCACCACCTTTACTACACCATACCACCACACCATTACCACCACCACCTTTCTTACCACCACTACCACCATTACCACCACCACACCATTACCACCACCACCATTACCACCACACCTTTCTTACCACCACTACACCATTACCACTACCACTACCACCATTACCTCCACCACCATTACCACCACCACCTTTCTTACCACCACTACCACCATTACCACCACCACTACCACCATTACCACCACCACCATTACCACCACCACCTTCTACCACCACACCCCATTACCACCACCTACCACCATTACCACCACCACCATTACCACCACCACTTACCACCCTACCACCATTACCACCACCACCACCACCATTACCAACCACCACCACCACCCACCCATTACCACCACACCACCATTACCACCACCACCACCACCATTACCACCCACCATTTCACCACCACTACCACCACTTACCACCATTACCACCACCACCCCCCTTACCACCACCACACCACCATACCACCATACCACCATTACCACCACCACTACCACCCCAACCCCACACCTTACACCACCACCACCATACCACCATTACCACCACCATTACCACCTACCACACCACCATTACCACCCATCCACCTTTCTTACCACTCCACCACCATTACCACAACCTCCACCTTTCCTACCACCCACCACATTACCACCTCCACCATTCCTACCACCACCACCATTACCACCTCCACCTTTACCACCACCACCACCATTACCACCACCACCACTATTATCGCTACCACGACTAGCACCACTGTTACTGCTGTGGTTTCCATTGTGACACAGGGAGCCGTAACCATCTAGCTTGTCGTAACCATCATGGTTGAATTCGTTGTGTAGGTGAGGCGCAGGGAGGTCTTGGTGACCAAGGAAGAGTCTGTCTTCCTTCTTTGTCTAAGACATAAGGTTGTCTTCCTTGTCCTTTGTCTAACACAGTGGGGTCTGTCCTTTCCCTTGTCTGTTGTCTAAGACGGTGAAGGGTCTGTCTTCCTTGTCTTTGTCTAAGACAGTGAAGGGTCTGTCTTCCTTGTCTTTATCTAAGACAGTGAAGAGTCTGTCTTCCTTGTCTTTGTCTAAGACAGTGAAGGGTCTGTCTTCTTTGTCTTTATCTAAGACAGTGAAGAGTCTGTCTTCTTTGTCTTTGTCTAAGACGGTGAAGGGTCTGTCTTCCTTGTCTTTGTCTAAGACAGTGAAGGGTCTGTCTTCTTTGTCTTTGTCTAAGACAGTGAAGGGTCTGTCTTCCTTGTCTTTGTCTAAGACGGTGAAGGGTCTGTCTTCTTTGTCTTTGTCTAAGACAGTGAAGGGTCTGTCTTCTCTGTCTTTGTCTAAGACAGTGAAGGGTCTGTCTTCCTTGTCTTTGTCTAAGACAGTGAAGGGTCTGTCTTCCTTGTCTTTGTCTAAGACAGTGAAGGGTCTGTCTTCCTTGTCTTCAACTCCAACAAGCAGTATCTTCTCTGGGTCGCCACAGGAGACACAAACCTGGAATATTGAAGATTCTTGTTAGTGGTCAACCTCATTTTAGACATCTGGCCTAATTTAGAGCCGATGCCAACCATCATATAGAAAACATGGTGTCTGAAGCTATGTCTGATATCACTCATGGCTAACTTGACACACATGGGCAATATCTTGCAGTTATATGCCTTCAAGAATACTGACAACGGATGTGTTTATGCATTTTCAAATATATTTTTGTAAATTGTACTTTGTACACCATGCATATGGCCCGGTGGCCTGGTGGCCCGGTGGCCTGGTGGCTAAAGCTCCCGCTTCACACACGGAGGGTCCGGGTTTGATTCCCGGCGGGTGGAAACATTCGACACGTTTCCTTACACCTGTTGTCCTGTTCACCTAGCAGCAAATAGGTACCTGGGTGTTAGTCGACTGGTGTGGGTCGCATCCTGGGGGACAAGATTAAGGACCACAATGGAAATAAGTTAGACAGTCCTCGATGACGCACTGACTTTCTTGGGTTATCCTAGGTGGCTAACCCTCCGGGGTTAAAAATCCGAACGAAATCTTATCTTATTTTATCTTACCGAACCAGACACATCAGCTGGTAAACACTTCTTACATCAACACATGAGTCAAGTTCCATTATATAACCTTAAATCTTTTCTGCGCACATAATCCGTTACTAAGTAAAGAAATGTCATTTGCGAAACATCGCGTCGAGTGCAAAACATATTCTTAAATTTCTATATAAAAAAAAAATACTGCTTTTCCCCAACTAAAATAAATGAAGCCTAGGTTAAGATGACAAGCGCTGGAGAACTGACAAAGTCTCAGTGGAAAGTAAATGTAACATATGAATACCTTAGCATTGAACAAACAATTAGACATATAAAGTAATTATTGCTATTCAAATGTATATATACCTAAAGGCGTGTAACTCGCAGTGAATTTACGATGGTCCAAATTTTTCGGATTGAAGTATCCTTGAGGTGGAGACGGAGAGGCTTCGTGCAGTCTTAATGACCCTCGTATAGCAGATAGGCTTTAAAGAAAATAAATCAGCAGAGCATCTCCATATATTAAAGGACTTGAAACCAATACGTGTCAATCCAGGAATTTTCAGACATTTAAACTCGTCATGAATTGAGAAAGAACACGCGTACATATAGTGGGAACATTAATCGAAACATTTGGCCAAGAATGCTTCCTCAGTTCTAATACAGAGAACTAAGAAGGGATAAATAAATTAGAAAACTGACAAATTAAAGAATGAGACAAGTGTCTCATTCCACAATTAAGTAGGGGTCATTTATAGTGAGTGGAGACAGACGACAAGAAGCGAGGTGGTGGTCAATGGAAGCAGATCAACAGGATCAATACTGGCTATCACATGACGGTGCTCGTGGGTTGGTGTCGCCTCATGTCTGTGTCCTGGATAGCAACAAATGCTTGAAGATGTTGAAGATGCCTGACTTCTGCTGGATGGTGTTTGAGATTGTTATGAGGCTTCCAACCACTTCCATCTGAGTCAACGATTAGTTTATCATCATTAAATTACATGAAATGTCCTCTATCGTTCGTGTGTTGGATGAAGGTGTTGCTTAGATCGTCATAGTTGTAATGGTTCTTGTGTTCTTGAATCATTAATTTGAAAGACTTTCTTGCTTAACTTATTTGCTTTCTATCACACCCCCCACAAGGTATGACACAGATTCCTGCACTACCATCATACACAGACTCCTGCACTACCATCATACACAGACTCCTACACTACCATCATACACAGACTCCTACACTACCATCATACACAGACTCCTACACTACCATCATACACAGACTCCTACACTACCATCATACACAGACTCCTACACTACCATCATACACAGACTCCTACACTACCATCATACACAGACTCCTACACTACCATCATACACAGACTCCTACACTACCATCATACACAGACTCCTACACTATCCATCATACACGACTCCTACACTACCATCATCACAGACTCCTACAACTACCATCATACACAGACTCCTACACTACCATCATACACAGACTCCTACACTACCATCATACACAGACTCTCACACCTCTACCGACTCCAAACTCATCATACACAGATCCTACACTACCATCATACACAGACTCCTACACTACTCATCATACACAGATCCTACACTACCATCATACACAGACTCCTACACTACCATCATACACAGACTCCTACACTACCATCATACACAGACTCCTACACTACCATCATACACAGACTCCTACACTACCATCATACACAGACTCTTACACTACCATCATACACAGACTCCTACACTACCATCATCACAGATCTACACTACATCATACACAGATCCTACACTACCATCAACACAGACTCCTACACTACCATCATACACAGACTCTTACACTACCATCATACACAGACTCTTACACTACCATCACACACAGACTCCTACACTACCATCATACACAGACTCTTACACTACCATCATACACAGACTCCTACACTACAATCACACACAGACTCCTACACTACCATCATACACAGACTCCTACACTACCATCATACACAGACTCTACACTACCATCAACACAGACTCACTAACAACTACCATCATACACAGACTCCTACACTACCATCATACACAGACTCCTACACTACCATCATACACAGACTCCTAACACTACCATCATACACAGACTCCTACACTACCATCATACACAGACTCCTACACTACAATCACACACAGACTCCTACACTACCATCATACACAAACTCCTACACTACCATCATACACAGACTCCTACACTACCATCATACACAGACTCCTACACTACCATCATACACTGATTCCTACACTACCATCATACACAGACTCCTACACTACCATCATACACAGACTCCTACACTACCATCATACACTGATTCCTACACTACCATCATACACAGACTCCTACACTACCATCATACACAGACTCCTACATTACCATCATACACAGACTCCTACACTACCATCATACACAGACTCCTACATTACCATCATACACAGACTCCTACACTACCATCATACACAGACTCCTACACTACCATCATACACAGACTCCTACACTATGGGTCTGTTCTCTGCTCCTTAAGCATTAAAATTGTAAAAAGGCATAAAAGTTGTTAGTTATTAGATTAGATGGTTAGTAATATTAGCGGATACATTGGACGTCATGTAGCTGATTGGCTTCACAATGTTGTATAATCGCTGTTTCTCCCACTGATACGTGTTGTCAGTGTTCGGTGTTTAAATATATAGTTGAGGGAACGCTGCGCAACACTGAAAGTTGCCTGAGGTATGCGCATTCATCTTCAAATAACTAATGACGAGAAACTTAAAAAACTCCAAGGGAAAAAGTTTATAGCAATGCTTCTCTTTGTTCTCTTCCGTAACGTCATTCTTTCATGTTGATTTTCGGTACACTTTCAACAAGAGTCTGTTCTCTCTAGTGTGAAGGATTTTTCTCTTCGACAGTAAATCTGATAGTGGATTCTAGCTTGATGATGGTGTGAAGAATGTTCCGGACTTCCAGGCTCTTAGAGATGACGTCTAGTACTCTTTGTGTGTATTGCATCCATGTGAAGGAGTTAACAATAGTGGTTCTTGAGTAGTGAAAGTCGTGCACACTTGAAGCACTCAGGTGACCTAAATCTATCGAAGGACTTCAATATAACAGATTAGAAACTCGCAAGTTTCCACATCACTGCCCTATGTACTGATGTGCCTTCCAGTAGCACTGGCGTCATACGCTGTATGATTCTGAGTGACTTTTAAATTCCCTGTGCCTCCCCACGATTTCATTATCTGACTGATTTGTGCACACGCTAAACTGCTTCAGCTTTGAAAACAGTAAATATAAACATGGGAATGGCCTTGTTGTGGGTTCACTCCTCACCACCAACCCACTTTATCTGTTACTGGAAGACGCAGAAGCTAACAGTCGTCTGGAAGCGATACAGGAACGACGTGCTAGTCATCATGCCTTGGAACCTTGAAGTTTCAAAACATTCTTTGTACCATGAACAGTAACTCTTCAGCAAGAAGACACCCCTCAGCCTTCTTCGATATATCCCTCCACAGTTCAAATTACAGAAATGTACAGAAACAAGCATACAGAATGAATTATTCCACTATTATTCTCATCATGTCAATAGAGCAAAGAGATGACTTTTATGATTGTTTGTCCTCTGTATCTTGCTGATTAATGTACGTACTGTACCTCACACAAGTTTTCAGGCTTCTGCAGAATCCACTCCTCTTTATCTCCGATTGCAGGACACAGTCAACAAGTATCATTGGCAGAGACGTCAACAAGTCTTCATCAATAGGGTCTACCTGATGCGTTGTACTACCAGTCCCACAGCAGTAAAGTAACTTATGTTAATATTAAACACCCTCCCACAGCAGTAGAGTAACTTATGTTAATATCAAACACCCTCCCACAACAGTAGAGTAAGTTATGTTAATATTAAACACCCTCCCACAGCAGAAAAGTAACTTATGTTAATATTAAACACCCTCCCACAGCAGTAGAGTAACTTATGTTAATATTAAACACTCTCCCACAGCAGTAAAGTAACTTATGTTAATATTAAACACCCTCCCACAGCAGTAGAGTAACTTATGTTAATATTAAACACCCTCCCACAGCAGTAGACTAACTTATGTTAATATTAAACACCCTCCCACAGCAGTAGAGTAACTTATGTTAATATTAAACACTCTCCCACAGCAGTAAAGTAACTTATGTTAATATTAAACACCCTCCCACAACAGTAGAGTAACTTATGTTAATATTAAACACCCTCCCACAACAGTAGAGTAACTTATGTTAATATTAAACACCCTCCCACAGCAGTAGACTAACTTATGTTAATATTAAACACCCTCCCACAGCAGGAGAGTAACTTATGTTAATATTAAACACCCTCCCACAGCAGTAGACTAACTTATGTTAATATTAAACACCCTCCCACAACAGTAGAGTAACTTATGTTAATATTAAACACCCTCCCACAGCAGGAGAGTAACTTATGTTAATATTAAACACCCTCCCACAGCAGTAGAGTAACTTATGTTAATATTAAACACCCTCCCACAGCAGTAGACTAACTTATGTTAATATTAAACACCCTCCCACAGCAGGAGAGTAACTTATGTTAATATTAAACACCCTCCCACAGCAGTAGACTAACTTATGTTAATATTAAACACCCTCCCACAACAGTAGAGTAACTTATGTTAATATTAAACACCCTCCCACAGCAGGAGAGTAACTTATGTTAATATTAAACACCCTCCCACAACAGTAGAGTAACTTATGTTAATATTAAACACCCTCCCACAGCAGTAAAGTAACTTATGTTAATATTAAACACCCTCCCACAGCAGGAGAGTAACTTATGTTAATATTAAACACCCTCCCACAGCAGGAGAGTAACTTATGTTAATATTAAACACCCTCCCACAGCAGGAGAGTAACTTCAAATATTCTAAACATTCGGCACCTGAGTCGTTGCTTAACCTGGGCACAGGTTTCAGGTTACTCCAGTCCAAGCTCACAGTCACGTGATACCCGCGTCTTCTACAGCGGGTATCTTCTACATGGTGTTGATGTTACGATGCCCGGTACAACCCAGCCAAGAATTACTTCAGAGAGGTAAGGAGAAATGAGCAAAAGAAACTCTGAAGCGGAGTAGAAACAGGGAGCACTGAAACATTTGTTCAGGTTTGAAACAACAATCTGAGTGTGAAAAAAAAAAAAAACGAGATGCAAAGATTTAATGACGAAAACAAAACAGAAGAAAATGAGTAAGAATGTATCAGCAAACTAGAAAATAATGGAGGTTGTAGATTAAAAGCCAGACAGCCATTCTCTGGCTTTAATTTTGTAATAGTCGAAGATAAAGTAAAGAAAAACAAAGCTACAAGTGGGAGTTGACAAGAAGGCGGCGGGACCAGACGAAATAATATCAACGATCTTGAATATACATGACGACGAACTAAGTTGTCCTTTCTTGAAAATCTTTGGAATTTCAATGAAATTTTCTGCCAATTAGATATTGACAGAAAATGGAATTTAAAAAAAATTGAAAAAAGGCGTCAGAGAACCTCCTTCGACCTGTCTTTCTCACACTGTAGGAATTTACCAGTTGCTGGTCTGCCTTTAGTAATTTTAGTACACACAATAAGTATATAAGTAATTGTGGATATAAAATCTTCGTCCTGTGTTTTGGTCGCTGTGTGATCTTAGAAAAATATTCCCGTATTGCATAACCTCAACCCCTTCTACCTCAATGCACGTGACTGCAATAGTGCAAAGTGCCGCATAAGTTGATAATGCAGTTATATATTAACTTTGAAGTTATGAAGAGAATCAGAAGTTGCATTGATAATATAGTTGCCTGGTGGTTAACGCTCTCGCTTCACACGGCGAGGGCCTGGGTTCGATTCCCAGCCAGAGTAGAAACATTGGACGTGTTTCTTTCCACCTGTTGTCTATGTTCCCCATCAGTAAAATGGGTACCTGGGTGTTAGTCGACTGATGTGGGTCGCATCCTGGGACACTGACCTAAGGAGGCCTGGTTACAGACCGGGCCGCGGGGGCGTTGACCCCCGGAACTCTCTCCAGGTAAACTCCAGGTAATAAAAATGGTAAATTAGGACATACACAGCCCATATCTATTTCATACCATCTATTAAAAATCGCCAGCATTGAAGTTAAACGGAAGAGGCATTCTCTGTTTATCTTAGAGAGACAAATATCCTAAAGTACACAAGCACGTTAAGTTTGAAGCCGCTCAGAATCTGCATTAACAAGTTATCAACACTGAAGGTTGAGGCTAATCTGATGCTGTCATCAGAAAGTATTGTATGAACAACAGTATTTCACATGTACTAAAAATGGGATCTACTTAATAATAATAATAATAATATAATAATAATAATAATAATAATAATAATAATAATAATAATAATAATAATATCTATATTTTCTACAAGTACATGTACAAGGTATACAGTCCTAGCTGACAACAATGACATACTACTACATAGAAAGTCCCTTGTTATGCTGAGAATTTCCAGTAAATTAGGTCAGTTTTGTCCCAGGATGCGACCCACACCAGTCCACTAACACCCAGGTACCTATTTTACTGATGGGTGACCATGGACAACAGGTGTCTTATGGAAACACGTCCCTAATGTTTTCCAGCCGTACCATTTGCAATTCTTTTATCTTAATGAGAGAAAAGCGCTAAACGCGAAGGGATCATGTAGCGTTCGTGGAATAGGACGTTTTCAAATTCGATCAAATCCAGTTCCTTGAATCAAGAGCCCCTCACCAGCATCCCCACTTCATGAAGAATAAACTAATAATAAAAATTAGAATTACACTATTTTCGAAGCTCGTAAGAAGAAACTCTCTAAAATTATATCAAGGAAACCAGTTTCAGGAAAGATCTTTATAAATTTGAGCAGAGAACACCAGCACTTGTGAGTTGTTCCACGAAGCCTCGAGGACACCAGCGCTTGTGAGTTGTTCCACGAAGCCTCGAGGACACCAGCACTTGTGAGTTGTTCCACGAAGCCTCGAGGACACCAGCACTTGTGAGTTGTTCCACGAAGCCTCGAGGACACCAGCACTTGTGAGTTGTTCCACGAAGCCTCGAGGACACCAGCACTTGTGAGTTGTTCCACGAAGCCTCGAGGACACCAGCACTTGTGAGTTGTTCCACGAAGCCTCGAGGACACCAGCACTTGTGAGTTGTTCCACGAAGCCTCGAGGACACCAGCACTTGTGAGTTGTTCCACGAAGCCTCGAGGACACCAGCACTTGTGAGTTGTTCCACGAAGCCTCGAGGACACCAGCACTTGTGAGTTGTTCCACGAAGCCTCGAGGACACCAGCACTTGTGAGTTGTTCCACGAAGCCTCGAGGACACCAGCACTTGTGAGTTGTTCCACGAAGCCTCGAGGACACCAGCACTTGTGAGTTGTTCCACGAAGCCTCGAGGACACCAGCACTTGTGAGTTGTTCCACGAAGCCTCGAGGACACCAGCACTTGTGAGTTGTTCCACGAAGCCTCGAGGACACCAGCACTTGTGAGTTGTTCCACGAAGCCTCGAGGACACCAGCACTTGTGAGTTGTTCCACGAAGCCTCGATGACACCAGCACTTGTGAGTTGTTCCACGAAGCCTCGAGGACACCAGCACTTGTGAGTTGTTCCACGAAGCCTCGAGGACACCAGCACTTGTGAGTTGTTCCACGAAGCCTCGAGGACACCAGCACTTGTGAGTTGTTCCACGAAGCCTCGAGGACACCAGCACTTGTGAGTTGTTCCACGAAGCCTCGAGGACACCAACACTTGTGAGTTCTTCCACGAAGCCTCGAGGACACCAGCACTTGTGAGTTCTTCCACGAAGCCTCGAGAACACCAGCACTTGTGAGTTGTTCCACGAAGCCTCGAGGACACCAGCACTTGTGAGTTGTTCCACGAAGCCTCGAGGACACCAGCACTTGTGAGTTGTTCCACGAAGCCTCGAGGACACCAGCACTTGTGAGTTGTTCCACGAAGCCTCGAGAACACCAGCACTTGTGAGTTGTTCCACGAAGCCTCGAGGACACCAGCACTTGTGAGTTGTTCCACGAAGCCTCGAGAACACCAGCACTTGTGAGTTGTTCCACGAAGCCTCGAGGACACCAGCACTTGTGAGTTGTTCCACGAAGCCTCGAGGACACCAGCACTTGTAAGTTGCTCCACGAAGCCTCGAGGACACAGTAGGTTACAGATAACACAGTAGGTTACAGATAATAACACAGTAGGCTGAACATTAAAATGGTATAAAATACCGACAGATTGTTAGGTAAGACACATATGCAACAGTTAGGTATCTTTATTATGAAACGTTTCGCCTACACAGTAGGCTTCTTCAGTCGAGTACAGAAAAGTTGATAGAAGCAGAATATACTTGAAGACGATGTAATCAGTCCATCACCCTTAAAGTTTTGAGGTGGTCAGTCCCTCAGTCTGGAGAAGAGCATTGTTCCGTTGTCTGAAACAATATCACAATATTGTTGTCTGAAACAATATTGTTTCAGACAACGGAACAATGCTCTTCTCCAGACTGAGGGACTGACCACCTCAAAACTTTAAGGATGATGGACTGATTACATCGTCTTCAAGTATCTTCTGCTTCTATCAACTTTTCTGTACTCGACTGAAGAAGCCTACTGTGTAGGCGAAACGTTTCGAAATAAAGATACCTAACTGTTGCATATGTGTCTTACCTAACAACACAGTAGGCTACCGATAATAACACAGTAGGTTACAGATGATAACACAGTAGTTTACAGATGATAACACAGTAGGTTACAGATGATAACACAGTAGTTTACAGATGATAACACAGTAGGTTACAGATGATAACACAGTAGGTTACAGATACACACAAACTAACAGAAGAATGGGTTAGTTTACGAGATAGGTCAGTAAGTCTTAGAATCGTTATAAAGTTTACATATCCCGGTAAACCAAGGTGCAAACTCCGTTCCCGGAACTACAAATACTTTCATGCACATACATGCACTAGAGTGCTCACACCACAACTCCACACGCGAGTGCTCACACCACAACTCCACACGCGAGTGCTCACACCACAACTCCACACGCGAGTGCTCACACCACAACTCCACACGCGAGTGCTCACACCACAACTCCACACGCGAGTGCTCACACCACAACTCCACACGCGAGTGCTCACACCACAACTCCACACATACTCACGCGAGTGCTCACACCATCACCACTCACCAGAGTCATGCTGGTAGTGAAGGTACAGAGAAGAGTACACAGCTTCATGACTGGCGCTCTTTTTTTTCCAGCTACGTTCAGTTTCCAGAGGTTTTGCTTCTCTCAGTTAACTCCACAAGTTGTAGGTCAGTGCAGTGAGTCCCACCTGCTTGTTGTGTTGGTTAAGTGTTGGTGGTGGTCGACACTTGTGAGGAGGTGAGTGTTGTTGGTGGTGCTTGACACTTGTGAGGAGGTGAGTGTTGGTGGTGCTTGTCACTTGTGAGGAGGCGAGTGTTGTTGGTGGTGCTTGACACTTGTGACGAGGTGTGTGTTGTTGGTGGTGCTTGACACTTGTGAGGAGGCGAGTGTTGTTGGTGGTGCTTGACACTTGTGACGAGGTGTGTGTTGTTGGTGGTGCTTGACACTTGTGACGAGGTGTGTGTTGATGGTGGTGGTCGACACTTGTGACAAGGTGAGTGTTGCTGGTGGTGCACGACACTTGTGACGAGGTGAGTGCTGCTGGTGGTGCTCGATAATTATTACTGAGAGTTGCTGGTGGTGCTCGACGATTGCCTGGAGATGTGTGTTGCTGAAGCAGCACCAGAGGACTCAGCTCCGGGTCTCTGACCAAACTGTAGACCCGAAAAATTCTTCACCTTCATACTCACACATATTCACCTGAATATGATACAACTTATACCATCAATCACCGAGGGACACCTGTGTACATCTCCACACTCTGGGTTCCGATCTCAACCTTTTGGCTTGCAGCCCACAACGATAAAAACGTATTTTTGAATTTAATCTATACATTTTGATTAATTTTAATGGTCTTACATTACTTCAATTAAAATTATGGTCTTCCAGAAATATATTTCCTATGAAAATTCTTGAGGTGCATTTATTTGCTAGGTCAGATTATCAAAAAAATTCTTTAATCGACAGTCCACTAACAGTGCTAAATATAATTATTATCTACAACCAGAACCAGGTCATCCTGCATGATAACTACAATCAAAGCTAGGTCATCCTGCATGATAATTACAATCAAAGCCAGGTCATCCTGCATGATAACTACAACCAAAGACAGGACATCCTGTATGATTACAGCCAAACTCAGGTCGCCCTGCATGACAACTAGAACCAAAGTCAGGTCATATTATTGCATGATAACTACAACCAAAGCCAGGTCATCCTGCATCATAGCTACAACCAAACCCAGAACACTCTCCATGAAAACTACAACCAAAGTCAGGACACCCTGCATGATTACAACCAAAGCCAGGTCACTCTGCATGATAACTACAACCAAAGCCAGGACACCCTGCATCATAACTACAACCAAAACCAGGACACACTGCATATAAACTACAGCCAAAGCCATGTTACCCTGAATGATAACTACAACCAAGTGCCAGATCACCCCGTATGATAACTACAACCAAAGCTAGGTCACTCTGCATGATAACTACAGCCAAAGCCAGGATGCTCTGCATGATAACTACAACCAAAGCCAGGTCACCCTTCATAATAACTACAACAAAAGTAAGGATACCCTGCACGATAACTACAACCAAATCCAGATCACCCTGTATAGCTACAACCAAAGCCAGGTCACACTGCATGACAATTACAACCAAAGCCAGGACACCCTGCATCATAACTACAACTAAAGCCAGGACACCCTGTATGATTACAACCAAAGCCAGGTCACTCTTCATGATAACTACAACCAAAGCCAGGTCACCCTGCATTATAACTACAACCAAAGTCAGGTCACCCTGCATTATAGCAACAATCAAAGCCAGGTCACCCTGTATAGCTACAACCAAAGCCAGGTCACTCTTCATGATAACTGCAATCAAAGCCAGGTCACCCTGCATTATAACTACAACCAAAGTCAGGTCACCCTGCATTATAACTACAACCAAAGCCAGGTCACCCTGCATGATTACAACCAAAGCCAGGTCACCCTGCATTATAACAACAATCAAAGTCAGGTCACCCTGCATTATAACTACAACCAAAGCCAGGTCACCCTGCATTATAACAACAACCAAAGCCAGGTCACACTGCATTATAACAACAACCAAATCCAGGTCGCCCTGTATAGCTACAACCAAAGCCAGGACACCCTGCATGATTACAACCAAAGCCAGGTCACCCTGCATTATAACAACAATCAAAGCAAGGTCACCTTGCATTATAACTACAACCAAAGCCAGGTCACCCTGCATTATAACAACAACCAAAACCAGGTCACCCTGCATTATAACAACAATCAAAGCCAGGTCACCCTGCATTATAACAACAATCAAAGCCAGGTCACCCTGCATTATAACTACAACCAAAGCCAGGTCACCCTGCATTATAATAACAATCAAAGCCAGGTCACCCTGCATTATAACTACAACCAAAGCCAGGTCACCCTGCATTATAACAACAATCAAAGCCAGGTCACCCTGCATTATAACAACAATCAAAGCCAGGTCACCCTGCATTATAACAACAATCAAAGCCAGGTCACCCTGCATTATAACTACAACCAAAGCCAGGTCACCCTGCATTGTAACAACAACCAAAGCCAGGTCACCCTGCATCATAACAACAATCAAAGCCAGGTCACCCTGCATTATAACAACAATCAAAGCCAGATCTCCTTGCATTATAACAACAACCAAAGCCAGGTCACCCTGCATTATAACAACACTCAAAGCCAGGTCACCCTGCATTATAACTACAACCAAAGCCAGGTCACCCTGCATTATAACAACAACCAAAGCCAGGTCACCCTGCATTATAACAACAATCAAAGCCAGGTCACCCTGCATTATAACAACAATCAAAGCCAGGTCACCCTGCATTATAACTACAACCAAAGCCAGGTCACCCTGCATTATAATAACAATCAAAGCCAGGTCACCCTGCATTATAACTACAACCAAAGCCAGGTCACCCTGCATTATAACAACAATCAAAGCCAGGTCACCCTGCATTATAACAACAATCAAAGCCAGGTCACCCTGCATTATAACAACAATCAAAGCCAGGTCACCCTGCATTATAACTACAACCAAAGCCAGGTCACCCTGCATTGTAACAACAACCAAAGCCAGGTCACCCTGCATCATAACAACAATCAAAGCCAGGTCACCCTGCATTATAACAACAATCAAAGCCAGATCTCCTTGCATTATAACAACAACCAAAGCCAGGTCACCCTGCATTATAACAACACTCAAAGCCAGGTCACCCTGCATTATAACTACAACCAAAGCCAGGTCACCCTGCATTATAACAACAACCAAAGCCAGGTCACCCTGCATTATAACAACAATCAAAGCCAGGTCACCCTGCATTATAACTACAACCAAAGCCAGGTCACCCTGCATTATAACAACAATCAAAGCCAGGTCACCCTGCATTATAACTACAACCAAAGCCAGATCACCCTGCATTATAACTACAACCAAAGCCAGGTCACCCTGCATTAACAACAATCAAAGCCAGGTCACCTTGCATTATAACAACAATCAAAGCCAGGTCACCCTGCATTATAACTACAACCAAAGCCAGATCACCCTGCATTATAACTACAACCAAAGCCAGGTCACCCTGCATTATAACAACAATCAAAGCCAGGTCACCCTGCATTATAACTACAACCAAAGCCAGGTCACCCTGCATTGTAACAACAACCAAAGCCAGGTCACCCTGCATCATAACAACAATCAAAGCCAGGTCACCCTGCATTATAACAACAATCAAAGCCAGGTCACCCTGCATTATAACTACAACCAAAGCCAGGTCACCCTGCATCATAACAACAACCAAAGCCAGGTCACCCTGCATCATAACAACAATCAAAGCCAGGTCACCCTGCATTATAACTACAACCAAAGGTAGATGACCGTGCATGATAATGTCATCATGGAAATCAACATCCCAGTTTCTCTCATGAAAAACATTAGGAAAATATAAGATACAAATCCCTGATATAATTCAATCCGTCAACTAAGGAACAACAACAATGATAGTATAAACCTTGGTAATAAATACCGACAAGTTGGTTTAGTAATACACGTAAGCAAACACTAGGACATTTTCTAATAAATATGGCCTAGTGTTTGCTTAAGTGTTTTTCGAAATCACCAACATTGATGCCAAACATCTCAAAATGGCTAATATCCTAATATACACCAGCACGTTAAGTTTGAAGCCGTTCAGAAGTTGCATTATGAAGTTATCGGCGTTGAAGGGATGGAAGCATTCTGATGAGACTCTCAGAACTTGTCTCAGGAAAAATTGTTATTTCCAATTTCACAATATCTTCCATACAAGAGGACAGGTTGTGGCTTACACGAGCTAAAATCAATCCAAACTGATCTCTAATTAAGACAGACCAGTGTTTTAATATGCAATAAAAATATATTAGATTTAATTATATTTTGGATACATAATATGCAATTGTTTTACAGTGGTCTTGAGGACACACAGATGTTATAGGCGCGTTAATGTACATTGAGTAATTTTAACCCAGGATAACCAAATCAAGTCAAAAACTTTGACTTACTCTGGATCACTAAAAGCTAAAATATTCTCAGTTCAAATCGAAGATTCATTTCAGAAAAGCAGTGAAAGTTTGAAGCCGACTAGATGATGCATTCTCCAGTTATTGCAAAGAATCGAAAAAATATGCATTATACAGCTTAAATCCAAAAATAAGTTTCATCCATTTTATGTTACAGCGTAAGTGCTAAAGCTGTATGGGCATAGAGTATCCGGGAAATGGAAAGCATTTGTGGAAAATACTGTATATTTTCCAGAAATACGGTAATTTGTAGGTAAATAGATGCCCTATATTGTATTTTTAAAAGAAGTATGTTATCGAAAATGGGAAACCTGCGGCTGGTCCAGAGCAACTTGTGGATATGACAATGGTAGGTATCGAAGGGGGACATTTTTTGCGACCTAAGTGTCCCAAATTCCTACTTGTCTAACTGATAAATAATAATTATCTTTGTTATTTACTGTTATGTACATAATGATACATTCAGATAAATGCAATTTTCCACAGCATTTAGAACTGAGCTGAGGAAAGGGAGGATAATTCCAGTTCCTTGAATCAAGAGCCCCCCACCAACATCAAGAAGATATACCCCTATTATTTAATGCAAAAAAATTTATACCATTTCGAGATTAAAAGTGGCAAAAAGGACTTCTATACATCATTAACAATGACAGTCTTCCGGGTAGGACTCACAAGTATGGAAATTTTGAAGCCATTCAAAATAGGCTTCTAAATTTATTGCATGGGAATCATTACGGGAATGATTTATATAACACTATACAGACTGCAGCTGTTCCTGGAACCTTCACCTCTGTTGAAAATTTGAAACCAGTCTGGTAAGGCATTCTGAAGGTAAAGTCTAAAGTTTTGAAGGAGGTTAGTATATAATAAAAACACTGTACTTAACACTATGAATGACTCGGGCATAAACTGGCAGGAAAATATAAGTAGGTTCGTAAGTTGATGACTACCCACAGTGCACAATTTAAGACAGTTCTAGATCTGAAA